TCACTTGAAGTGTGACCAGTGGTACCTAACTATCTGTGGATCAGTGATATGTGAGCTTTGACAAGGCATCTAGAAATGCTGATTACCACTGTGGACGACGTATTACAAACGGGATTACAAACTAGAGTGAAACAAATATTTCCATATTTTTCTTTTCAAAAATGTTGACAAAGACTTGGTAGCAATGCAATTTTGCATTCGTTTGCTTTAAAATAAGCAAAGAAAATGAATTAAAAGGTCTACAAAAATATATTGCATCACATATTAGCGTTTATAAAAGCGTGGGGAGATGTATTAAAAAAATGTGACTTAATAAGAATCGTGATAAACATTATTTAGATTTAATCAAATGATATAATATTGCACTGACCTGCCTCGGTGTAGAGTCTTTCTTCACACGTACGCTGGTTTGCTTCCAAACGTTGTAATGGAAGAATAGTTGAAGAAGTAAGTGTGTTATGCCTATTAATGTTATTGCGTTGCTGTTGGATACATTCATTGATTGGCTGAACGGATAGTCACCTGGAAACTGAACAACAATGCAGTAAATCACAACACGTTGTCATGAGTGTCTGGACAGTATCTAGAAGTAGTAGTGATATGCTCTGAATAACCATTCATTGTCAGTGGGGAAGCTAACTTGGCAATATTATATTTCAATCACTTTTGAAATGCCTTGTATATACGCCATTATTAAAGTGACAGTATTACGTGACGTCATTGCTTTGTTTTAATTCTAGTTTATATAAAGGACGCAGAAGTCAGTCAGATTTATTGCCTCGCTAAACAGGTGCAATTATTGAAGTGCGACCTGGATACATAACCGTTCATACATCAGTGAATCTGAACAAGTAGTTTGTAGAATTGGAGGGTTTGTATGTTTTAAACTATTTTGCTACATTAACAGTAATAATTAAAGCGCGGTAATCGTCGCGCAGCTCGTGTTCGAATTTCATATAAATAAACAATGTATTTTACACGCGTTGTATACGTCGCTATGAGTCCCAAATCGAACAGGACACGGCGCGACGACCACCGCCCTTTAACAAAACTGCTTATTCTGCAGGATAAAGTGTATTTATGCGGTGGTTATCATTATGTGCTCAGTAGAATCCTATATTCAATGTGAAATGCGTACCAGATAAAAAAAGTATGATCTATTTCAATTAACTAGAGCATTCAGTTCAATACCTTGGGCATCCTTATTTACGACCTTGCAGGTACACCCTGTACATGTTGTACCAAGTGTAGCATACTACAAGACTGCTGTTTTTTTCACCTAAGCGGAACGAACGACCACATGGCTTATTTACCTATGACGCTTACTTTCAACGCCATATTGTTTCGAACACTAAAAGTTTAAACAGCAACATTGACTGGTTTGCTATGTGCGTCTCGAGGTCGTTAAATTGTTAGAACTGGTAAGTTTAAACTACTTTAACGCGAATTACCGCCGGTGATTTCATCATACCTTCCAATCACAGAAGAAATTACGTAGTTAAAGCTTGGTAGCGTCTTAGTTTGTACAGTTTGTTGTTCTGTGCAACAGTCACAATTCCCATCATTGCGGGAGCCCATATATCGCGCATGCGTGGCATGACGACTGTCATAGTAATGCATGTTAAGCATTTATATTCCTAATATGAATATTCATGATAAACAGTCACGTGAACGACGACCTACACGTTTTAAGAAGCTTCAAGAAACTCGCCTGCGATTGAGCTTACTCTGAAAACAGTGATACTTGATATGAGGGGGTGCTCTAAATCGAAGTGTATGCATATCTTATGTTAAAGCG